ATCATCAAACCCAAGGGTATAACAGTTCAGTGGTCCCAAAAGCATTTGTACCAGGATTGGTTCCTGTAACATGTCAATTCCCACAGCTTTTAATAACTATGAGCATTTATGGAGCCATGCCATAAATTCGTTAAAATTCTCGGAAGGCGAGGGACCGATGGCTCCAGCTACCGCAGTTAGCTCATTAATTTTTAAAGCAACGAGTCTGGCAGTTAAGCCGCTTACTCGAGGCGGGTGAGGTGTGTATGTACTTTTAGATGCCTGATATCTTTCCCTCTGTATATAATTAGGTGCCTGATTTATTTCTCTTTCTGCATAATTGCCACGGGACCATGGTTCTCTTAAATTGTCAGTTAGGGCAGGTCTTCACTACGGGGGGCGTTGATTTAAGATACGCAAATTCAGCTACGCGAATAGCGTAGCTGAATTCGACCTATCGGAGCCGACTTACCCCGCTGTGAGGACGGCGGTAAAATCAACCGTGACCTCTCCAACCCCAGCCACAGCCGCGGGGAGAGTATCCAGGACCCTCTGTTTTCCACTGTCCTAACTGTGTTCGCCACTCATTGACAGGAGTTCCTTCCTATTGTTTAACTGCAGTTTCCACTTTTTCAATCCATTCATTCCAGGGTATATCTCTACCTCCATTCTCGCACCAAAATCAACCTCCACGGCTCCCTGTCGACAGCGCTTACTCCCACCTCCACTGGTGGAGTAAGAGCGTCGATTCGGGGATCGATTGTCGCGTCCCGACGAGACGCGATAATTCGATCCCCGAGAGATTGATTTCTACCCGCCGATTCAGGCGGGTATTGTAGACCTAGCCTGAGTATTTGTTGCCGTTTCCACTGCATTCCATGGCCTCAATGACGGTGGACCCTCAGTGCGTGGGGTAATATCAAGGGTAAATTGGGGTGTATGCGGAGTATTGGGGTCCGGTTCTTCGGCAAGGGTTTCTCCCTCAATTTCTCCCATTTCTCCTGTTTTAACTGGAATTGATCTAGGTTTTGGGGAGGGTTTGCCCATAACCTGGTTCTCATCATAAGGTGGTGGATGTGGTGCTGTAGCCCCTGCCCATGGGTCAATAGAGGATAATTCAACTGGGTCATTCCACATGTCCCCACGGCAGCATCCATTCCAATTGTCCCATGTCCCATCTTTTAATTTAGCTAGGGCTACCTGTTTCCATTTCTGTCCCCACACTTCAGGTACAGTAAAAGCACTTGAAGCCTGCTGAGCTAAGGGGGACGGTACCTTTTGCTTTTGCAGGTTTTCTACAGCTATCTCTAATCTCTTATTTTCCTGCTGTGTTTGCTCGAGCATATCATGAGTTTGAACTGCCTGTTGCCCTGTTAAAAGGGCTTGGGCTTTCCAGTGCTCGACTGCCTGGGTTGCTTCCTCCAAAGCTTTAGTTACCTCTTCTACTTCCCTGGTCTTTTCCATTACCTGTCTGGCTAGCATAGTGGCGTGCTGTTTAAGCCATCGTACTGCTATAGACATTAATTGCAAAATTATTGCTTTTTTAATTTTATTATTATTCTTTAAAGCTTCTGTTTCTGCCATTGCTTTACATATGCCAGTCCATGTTTCCCCACTTTCTTTTTTAAATTCATATGGACCCCCCTTTACTGGCAATCCAGGAGTTATGAAACTCCATGGGGATTTGAAGGGAGGGGAAAAGGGGGTTCCCTAGCTCGTGGTTTTCTGCCATGTTAGATGACGATTCCTACAGTGGACAGCTCGCTTACTCACCAGATCAGAGGTCGTGGTCACCAGTGTTGTCAGTAGCTACCAGTGTGGTGCTCTACTCTTGTTCAATGATGATAACAGTCGGCTGCGTGCGTGTTCCCTCTGAGTGCTGCCCCAGCTCTGCGCAGATCGCTGACACAGCAGACCCCGAGAGAACCCCCAATGACCGCACACTCTAGTAAAGTATGAAGGAACCCGAGCCAGGTTTATTGTCAAAGGAAACACAGTAATAGTTTCCTATAGACTCTACAGGACGATCTACGAATATGTGCCCCCTGGCAATGGACGCAGCTCAGTCAGTGGTGGGACTTTCCACTGCCCCCTAGGCTGGCCAAAAATACATACTCCGGCACCTACTTATATACAGTTACAGGACAAATTACTCATCTCTCCTGACGTATTGAGGTACAGCCTCTTGGCTCATTAGGGTGCTATCTCCCCTTTGATCATATTGTTCCAGACATACAGATCTAGCCATCATGCTGTCCTGTCTTTAAGATGCACCTGCCTGTTCTTTGTTATGTCTATGGAGGGTCCTTGTATCGGGCTATGCAGGTGCCATCTTGGCACAAGTTCCTCTTATTAGCACTTATATGATAAGCACCTGCTTCTAACAACCTTCTTCTTGCCAGTGTCTGTGAGCAGGGCCTGCTTCTGGCTCACAGCACAGCTTTTGCTTAGCAGTGCCTGGAAGTACTTTGGTTCAGGCTTCAGGCCTCAGACTAGGCCTCTGACACAAGAATGTATATTTCAGGGCCTCATCTTACTACACCCCCATGACTGTTGGCCCCTTACTGAAACTTAGTGGGGGTGGAAGGGGTTGGTTGGCTTCTCCCAGTACCAAAAGACAGGAAGGGCTAATGAGAAAAGAAAACCCTGAGGCAGGCAGGCCAATGAGGGAGTCAGGTGCCAGTTCTCTGTGTGAGCTGGAGCTGCCTGCCAGAGAAGGGCAGAGGAGCAGCCTGAGCTGGGTTGGAGGCAGAGTTGCAGAAGCACTGATGCTGAGGGTTGCTGAGTCTGGAGCAGTCTGGAGCTGGGTGTGGTGAGCAGCTGGGGAGAGCGAGGGGGGACACTGGGCAGCGTGGGATGACATCATGTTTTCCATTCCCCTTTCCCATTTTTTACTTATTTTTTTATTACTTGCTGTTTAATAAATCGTATTTCTTCTGAACTCTATGCAATGCTGAATGGCGACATCAGGGATGCGTCCGGAGTGAAGAGAGCACCCCAGAGTGGGGATACGACACCCTAGTCTCTGTCCTGAGTGATCGCAACAAAATTGGGGATGCAGACCCCGCAGGAATCTTGGGGCCAGCCTTGTCGGGGTTTCAGACACCAGAGTGGAAGGGGAGTCCTCGAGGTCAGGCAGGTCTCCAGGTAAAGGGAGTGGGAACGAAGATTCAGCTCCTTTTGCTATTTCATACTATCAGGGTGGTGTATAAGCCAGAAGAGTTCCCCACAATAGTAAGACCATTTCCCCCGCTTACCTCTGTGCATATTTACTGGTTTCTCCTAAAGTTAGTTAGGATTATAGGGGAAAGTGTCAGAGCGGCCACCAGTGAGAGTTTTTGGCCACACTCTGAGGCCACCAAATTTGGTCGTGAGAACCCCTGGACTAGTTGCTCATGATGGGCCCTTCTGATCGTAGAGCCTGTGAGTGGAACAGGAGCCGGACACAGAGATGCTGCACCTCGATGGGTTGATCGCTAGGACCCAGGAGCAGCTGGGAGGCGGCTCTGGGGGGAGCGATCGCTGGGCTCAGGCCCGGCAGCAGGAAGTGACTCGCAGCCGCTGCGGTGACTCTGTCTCCAGGCTCCTGGCGAGATCCCCGAGCCCCGGCGGCTGGTGTTGGGAGCCCGGAGCCCTGGCTGCAGCCGGGAGAGGGGAATCTCCAGCAGGGCCCTTCCCGCTGCTCCCCA